TTATTTATATTAGATGAAGTTAAAAAACTAAGATTACCTGCGATTTATAATTTTGTTTATCACAGCAATGTACACGTTTGTTTAACCGACTGAAAAAAGAAATTACAACGCAGAGTTACCACATTAATCACCTAAATTTCCTTGCAACCCATTGGTTGAAATTCTGGGAATAAATAATGATTTTGCAACTGCTAATAATTGCCATTTATTTTATTAGTATTAATAACAATATACAAAATTTAAAATGTTATAAAAATATAAAAAATTAATGATTAAGTAACTAGTTTCTTTTTTGAAATGTCACAATAAATATAAAAAGTTTTATATTCCCTAATAGATTAATTTGTCCAAAGAATCATATATGATTGGATTGTAAGTAAAGTGAATAAATAATATGTTCTAAATTATATTTTTACATTATTTAATTATATTAATTTTAATTAATCTTTTATATATATTGTTTATAATTGCTATGATAACAGAAATAAAGTGTTTAAATATATATATATATTTAAACATAATGAAAACTCTGATGAAATATATACATTAAGAAACGAGACCTGGTATTCTGTCATTGTTCTGTCGATAAGATAGACAAATTCTTGATCAGAAAGAAGAAGACGTACCGTAGAAGAATATAAGCTGTGGTCAATTGATCGAACGATTGGTGATCGAGTGCTTTTGCTGTTCGGTAAATGTAAATGTGTGTTGTATCAACGAGGATTATTGTGCAAGTACTGAGTACTTGTCGAAACATGAAATCTGAAAGTCGATAGTAACCTACGGTTCAGGAGAGTAGTATAAGGTAACGGTCCCTTGCTTTCGTCATGTTGTCAAAATTGATGAGGAAGACAAAGTTGACGGGAGATGCTCACTGATATGGAGGTTGTTGAGAATTCTTTAGTCCGCGGATCGTCTCTACTTGAAAGGTTTCCCGGAAGTTTTCATACGAGAAACACGCAAAAAGGTGTAAGTCGTCAGGCAACTATCGGCTGTCCTGTCGGCTTCCTGAAATTTTAACATCGGTATCACCTGATTCTCGACTTGACTTGCTCATTTGTTTTTCGTTCTTATATTTGTTATTTTTAGGTTACGCTTTTTATAATGGTTTTAAGTTTTATAGTGATAATTATTTACATTGTTTACAGATTCTGCAAGGTGTTCCCGCGGGATTTGGCGAGCTGGCGAAGCCAGGACGTGAATACTCGTCATCCTCGGAGGATACCGCAACACGTAGCAAAGACAGTGGTATCCTCGCTGTGCGAGGTCAATCTTTCACAATGTCTGGCTTATGCACTGATATATTAAGGAAAAGTTATACAGCTGCTCATATACATGCAGAATGTAGCAATTTGGCTCATGACAGTGGCTGTCCACCATCTCTTACTAAATTATTGGATGAACTGTTAAATCCTAGTAAAGATATTGGTGATAGAGAAACCATAAATTGGTGTAAATGGTTAATAGCTAGTGGTAATACACCAGAAAAATTTGCTAAAATAGGTACAACATGAATTTTATTTTCTTTAACTGAATAAATTAAAAACATGATATATATAGAAAATTATATTGAATTTAAATGTTTAAATTAAAAAAGATTAAAATATAATATATAAAATTCAATTTTATGATTAAAATACATAGAATATAGAATATTATGTATTGATATTATAAATATTTTAATTATTATGATTCTACTCTAATCATTGTTCGACATTTCTACATAACATATTTTGTTGTGAACATTATTTTAAAATCTGTGATATAATTATAATGCAATTTGCGTATTTGGCATCAACAAGATTATTCAATAAATATATGTTCATATATATTACTATAGATATGAAAATGTAAATGTACTAGATATTCTAATACTTAAAAGAGTAAAATTTATAAAATTTCTAATTTTAAAATTAAAGTAGATAATTTTTTGAATCAATATAATAGTAATTTGAGAAAAAACATGATTAAATATTGAAAATTTTAAAATTAATTGAAAATTTTTTTATATATATACATATATATATATATATATATTTAAATCAAATATATTCAAATTTTCATATATTTAAATCAAATATTTTTGAAAAATATTTCAGTGAGAATGTATGATAATGCTACAACTTGTGGATTAGTTTGGACACCTAATTTTGTTGCATATCGTTGTCGTACATGTGGTATTTCACCATGTATGTCTTTATGTACAGAATGTTTTAAAAAAGGCAATCATTATGGCCATGACTTTAATATGTTTTTAAGTCAAGCAGGAGGTGCATGTGATTGTGGTGATGCATCTGTTATGAAAGAATCAGGGTAAAATTTTAATAAATAGATAGAATAAAAGTAAAAGATTAAATTAAAAAGTTAAAATTGTTATTAATAAGAATAATATTTAATATAATTATTTTTTTAGATTTTGTGATAGGCATGGACCAAAAGCAGCTGTTGATACATCAGCTGCTCCTTCAAATTTAATGTGTGTAGCAGAAGCAATGATGCCTAGAATAATTCTTCGTCTTATACAACATTTACGTGAAAATTGGTATACTCTATATATTCTTTATTTAATTATTAAAATTATAAAAAATATATAATATATAAACATATTACAGTACGGTGGGTCGACGAAATTATGAAGCTGCAATACAAGATGCAGATGAATATTTAACAATGCTCATTGATTTTAATAAAATGGGTGCATTAATGAGGCATGTTATGACATCAGCTTTAACTAATCCACAAAAATATAGGAATCTTATGGATCCTACTGTATCAACTGGAGAACCAGAATATGATAGTTATTGTCAAGATAGTAATGAAATATATCAAAATGCAGTAAGATCATTACCCAATCCAGAACCACCTGATGAATATAAAGGCAAATCTTTTTTATTAATGCATATATATATATATATATATATAGTTATGAAAGAATATTTATATAATATTTTATTATATTGTTTTAGAATGTGCATCATTACAAGAACATTTACAACATACCACTTTTTTAGAAGAATTAATGTTTTGGACAGTGGCTTATCAATTTCCACAGAAATTAGTCTGCTTGCTATTAAATATGTTACCAGATCCAGAATATAAAGAAGCACTCACTCGAGCATTTGTTTTACATTACAGTAGAGTTTCAATGATGCTTGAACGTTCAACAGATCCTGATACTTTGAGCAATAGAGTAGTTCATGTCAGTGTACAGGTAAATATTGTAATAAAAATATTGTATTTATTATAAAAGAATATTTTATATGCTTGTACTTAATGTTTCAGCTATTCAGTAATGAAAGTTTAGCATTAAAAATGGTAGATCAATTAAAGTTGTTGCATGTTATGGTGATAGCGTTAAAGTATATGATGAGTAAAATATTGATTCAAAATACTTTACATGGTAAGTATATAATGTTTATTATTAAATTTTATTATTAATTTTAGAATATGTTTTATGGAATTTTTTATAAAATATATTTATTTTAGAATTATTATTATTATATAATAGATATTGTTAGTTATTATTATTAGTTATTATTATTATTATTCAATATATTGTTATTATTATTCAATATGTTTATTGAAATTAAATATTCTAAATCGTTTTCTTTCTAGATCCAGACAAAAATTTTCATTATGTAGTAGATTGTGAACGTCAAGTGATGAAGGAACATTGTTATTGGCCTATTGTATCAGATTTAAACAACGTTCTTTCACACAAACCTATAGCTGTCAGATTTATGAGTGATGATACACTTTTAGAAATGTGGTTTGATTTTCTATCTATGTTTCAAGGTATTATTTAATTTTTATCCAATATATAACGGAATTTATTATATATCGTAAAGTATTTTTAAAACTATTCTTATTATATTTAATTCAGGAATGAACGTGAATCAACGAGAAGTAAATCAACATGTTGAATATGAATCTAATACATACTATGCAGCATTTAGTGCAGAATTAGAAGCTAGTGCATATCCAATGTGGGCTCTAGTTTCTCATTTACGTGGTCCAGAAAGTGCAGTTCTTACTCGTAGAGTATTATCATTTTGTCTTACTGCATTGCAAGATTGGTTAGATGCTATAAATTTTACTCATCCAAATGTGGTAAGTAATTAAATGATTTAATAAAAATTTTTTTTTTACATATTTTTATTTTATTTTTTATTTAAATTAATTAATTAAAGTATAAAGAATAATATCATACTTCTTTTTTTCAATATCTTTTTTTTTAATTACAGAGTGATAGTTTACAAGTATCTTTTCATCTTCCATTGCATCGATATTTTGCTGTATTTATGTGCCAAGCTGTGCGTCAACAAGGGGCTACACTCAATGATTTGTTACCTCCTACAGACATGTTACATCTTTTAATGATGCATCCTTTACGAGTTCAGGTAAGTACTTTTTTATTTTCTAGTATATTTATATCTTTTCAGTATAGTTTCGATATATATACAATATTTTAAAACAAACTTGATGAAATTCATATTTGAAAATATTTATACAATTTTCTTATATTCATAATATTTATAATATTTTAATAGTATTTTAAATTTATAATATTTTCTTATATTCAATTATATTTATAAAGATATGATTTTATTTATAGTATTTTATTTCATTATGGTAGTGAAATTTCATTTATGATATGGACTTTTTATTTTATATTTTATTAATAATAATATTATAATTTTATCAAAATAACAATACAATTACATAATTTAAATTAACAATAACATAATATTGAAAATTATGATAAAAAGGAATTGGAGTTAGGAATATTAAAAGATAAATTTTTATTTTTATGATATGTTAAGTCAAAACATATATATATATATATATATATATATATAAATGTTAAATGGCACAAGAAACATTATTTAATAAAAAACTAAATATATTATTATTTAATAATATTATATAATATAATTATATAATATTATAAAAAACTGATTTTTTTAAAAAAATCATTAATATAAAATCTATCAATAATATTAATTATTAAAGTAAATATTTATTAAAAGTAAATATTGAAAGACAATATGAAAGTAGAAATAAAAAAGAAAAAAATATTAAACTATATGTTGAAAAATATGAACTATATCTTAATAGTATATGTAAATATATTCATACTGGTCTTATTTCATTTGGAGCATCAACAACTGTTTCTACATGAACAGGTAAATCAACTTGTAAATGTTTACTAAAATCATATGTAATCAATCTTAATGCTACATATCCACCCGATCCTAATCTGCCTTTGTGAAAAATACCAGCACCTGCGATTGGAATTGGTGGATTTGATTCTACCGATTGAACATCAAGAAATGGTATTGTATTTTGTGCAGCATCAGTTTTACGATCACTTGGTGCAAAATTCAGATATTGTTCCGTTTTTGAGTCTGGTAATGCGAGAAGAGGTAATCGAGTTGGTATATTAGGATTCTCAAACTTTAATTCAGTTCTGTAAACAAATATGATATTAGATAAAACATTTATAAGTATAAAAGAATATATATGATATATACACAAGTAAATATTACCTATCAGTTCGATCATGACTGATCCAAAAACTATTGTTTAATGGTTCTATTAATTTTCCAGTCGTAAAATTAAAAGGTGTCATTCTTACTTCTAAATTCAGTCTCGAACCAATCATTCGAAACTTAAAACCTGCAAAATAATTAGTAAAAATATGAAGTTACAAGAACAATATATTTTTAATTGAAATGTACCTGTCAAAAGATAATTTTTGTCAAGGACTAAATCGTCTAGATCCAACCCTCGTTTTTCCCACGATAAAGTGTGATAATCAACACCGTTTTTGACATTATTATCTAATACATTGAATTCTTCAATTGATTTCCAATGTACACTGGCTTTATCAATATTCCCACGTGGCATCAGTTCACCTTGCTGTATTTGTATATGTATTATTTGATTGACTTTTTTAAATCGAACACCTGTTACTACTCTGTAACAAATATTATTATTATTATTATTCAATTTTCTTGAATCTTAGAAATTTTCTTAATATAAATTACTAACTTATTGTTCGCTACATCAGATACGACTTTTTTTAGACTGAAGTATCGATCAGAGTTTATATTATTGTCATCACAATAGCAAAAACAGTAGCTACAATGCCAAAATAGCCAACGCCACCAGCTATCGACTTTGGTTGTACCTTTATTGCAAGTATTTTTTTCTCCGAATATTTGACCATTTTCGTATTCTATGTATTCATATCTTCGATCATTATGTTCAGACTAAAATAATTCATGAACTTATTTATTTTTGTCACATTGTTGTAAAGACAAAAAAATTTTCTATTTACCGAAGGGCAAATCCACATATCAGAATCAATATATTCGCATTTCAATATTCTACCATTACATTTACGTTGTTGAGAGCAAAACTGATTTTTATAACATCCATAAACTTTTGAATATTCATAATAAGCGCAATTTTCTCTACAGGACGAGTCTTTATTCAAATCCACTTCATTCACAATATATCCTTGGAATAATTGTGTTAATTTGGTATATGTTTCATCTGTGACAATTATTTTAGCATATATATATATATATCATATTTTTTGTATAATACACAAAAATAAAAATATACCTAATTTATGTATTCTCGCATCACATTTCCAAATTTGTCGCGGAGCAAATGCCATAGCCGTTTTTACAGCCCGCAAAGTTTCTGTCGTTCTTGTCTCATATTGTTGCTTTACTATTTCCATTTCATCAGTGAAATTTGTTCCTGAATCAAATTTATTGTGATTAAAAAATGAATTTTTAAAAAATTATTTAAAATCTAAGTAATAAAAAATAAGTTTTTTGTTCAATATTAAAAAAAGTCAAAACATAAATGAAAAGAATTGGATACATTATTATAAACCATGTACTGATGAAAAAATTAAGCTATGCAATTTACAAATGATAATTAATGTATTATACCTGGATTATAAAGCCGTAATATCTTATAAGAGAACTGAATCATACTGTAACCCTTAATTTCCGCCAATGTTATCGTGGTATATAAATTATATAATAATTGTTGAAGCGATTGATTTTCATTGCAAATTTGTGAAGATGCTTCCTACAAAATGGAAAAGTAAACGCAAAAAAAGAAAAGATTAAATCTATTGATCTTCAAAAATAATTAGTTCTTAAATTTCTGTTTGCTAATTATCAAAGAAGAACGTTCGCTACATCGATGATCATCGTATTGGAAACAATTCGTTTATATTATTATACCTGATAAACCGAAACGAATAATTTTTCGTGCACTATCAGGTCACTGATTCGAGAAAGAGCGTTCACGATCGACGCGTTCGGATCATGCAGAATCGTATCCAAGAACTCAGCCAGTTTTGGTATATCAAGGTCAACTTTTCCGTTAATGATCTCCTGTTGCATCATCCGAAAAACTCGGTACAAACCGTTAATCCCTTGTAATTCGTTTTCTGTTCTAGCCCATAACCAAATAGAATTCAATGCATTCAAATACTCATAACTATTGCTCGAAATGTTTCGCTCTAATTCATCACCAAATTTCTTGAACTTTTTTATGAGCCATAGATACTTTGCTTCTTTGTTATTTTCAAATTGATATAGTCTAGAATGGAATAGATCTCTCTCCACTGTTTTCTCCAATTGTAATAGTTTATTTCGCATTTCGTCGATCATCGTAGTGTCATAATGTATACTAATAGTTGCTCCCCATATTATGAAGAGAAACAGAAGACATATAGGAATATTTAATTTCTTCATATTTGTAGTTGTTTTATTTGATCCTTAATAGAAAAATAAGTTCTTATTTTAATCTTTAATTATATATACATGGACAAAATCCAGTATCTAATATCTATATGGAGATGTGTACAATTGCTAAATGAGATGATTTCAATTTATAATTGTGATGATAAATTTAAATCAGAAATATTTTTGACGTAAATAATTTTGTTTCCATTCTTCTTTCTTACTGATTTAGTCAAATATTATATGACGCATTCCTTACCGTGTAGATCATTGACGATCCACGTTAACCGGGCAAACAAAGATATCTTTTGAGTCACTGTTTAAAGAAACTATATATGAAAGAAAATTAAACTGAAGAAAATTAAAAACTATTGTTAAACTGTCTATAATTATTGATAATAGATTTATAAGTATCTTATTTTTTTTTTTAGTTGAAAATTTTTTATTTTTCTTTTTTTTACTAAAAACTCTAATTCAATATGATGAATCATTTTTAACAATTAAACAGTTTACGAATCATATTGAATATATTTATAAAAATAAAATAAAACTTAATAAAATTCATAACTTTTTGTGTTTAGACTTTTTTTCTAAAACTTTTAATTTTCTCATAATTTGAAACAAATCAATTAAAAAATTTAAAATGAAAGATTATTATATATTACACATAATATTATTCGAAAAGAATGCCAAAGTTGCATTCATTAGTATAGTGCATTTCTGAAACCTTGAAGAATAAGTTATCATATATTTGTAACAACATTTCATAACTCTCTATTTGTGCATAATGATCGTTCCATTGATATACAGAGCATGTTTGATAGTAAAGGTCGTATATACTGATTACGTTAAAAATTAGATACCTCAGTAGTTGAAGTAAAATGATATCATGTGTTATGTTCGTGAAAAGATTACTAACATGTAATTTTGTGATTGTTACATTCAATATGTATCTCAGAGATTCGTTCTTAATTAATAATACTTTTTTTCTTTCAACGGATTACGTTTAATTCACTTGAATGTGAGTCACATCCGTATGTAATTATTAGCCCTTCCGGTAATTTAAACGATTTCGACAACAATCGATATCCGATATTAATAATTAAATATCTGCTTTTTTCATTTCAAAATAATAAGTTTCTCACATCGTTACAATTTTTCATTTTTAAGAAATAATTTTTTTTTATTTTAAACAAAGCAGTAAATCTGTTTATTTAAATTTATAACAGTTAATAAGTTATCACATATTATAAATAAAATAAAATTATTATGAAACAAAAAAAGATTAGCTTTACCTTACAAACAGTTTTTCCTAAGGTTTCGTTGCTATATTTTTTTACAAACATAGTGCATACATTATAAGTTTATAAAGTGAAATATATAAATTTTAAAGTGAAAAGTAACCAGTTTTTAATAATTGTTGATTTAATGTTAAAAAATAATCATCGAATTAATTTTGTAATATCTTTCATTTATTCAAATAAAGTTTAACTTTTCCATTTTTAACCGTTCAATAATATTGCATCAGCAATTATTATTTTAAAACAAACAAATCTATTTAAAAAAGAAGTATAAATTATTTATATAAAAGTTTTCATTATTTTACTTAATAAGTTTTCATTTAAAAATTTATAAATGTATAGATTTTAAATATTAGGATGACAGCTCTGTTTTTATAAAGTCAATTTGTAATATGAATATTTTTCAAATGAATTATTTATATAATTGAATTATTTATAATATAAAATTCTATATATTTAATATTTTACGATGATGGAACGACGTAAGAAACTTTAATAACTTACTATTATTTGATGACACAATATCTAAGAGCGAAATCTCTGAATGTTTTTTTCATAAAACATGTAATATGTTTCATTAACAAATTATTTATCGATATATCGATATTTCATAAACAATTTTCAATTCAATTTTAATTGTTTTTCAACAGCGTCGAATAGAAAGTAGTAAAATTATATAGGTCGTGAAAGGTTAGTATGATTAATTGAAATGTTTCGATCGTAATAAGCGAAAATTGAAACCTGCTAAACTGTGACTACAAATCTGCTTGCATTATATTTTAAAATTATTAAAATATTTTGATTATTAAATCTAAACTTTTCGAAGTTCACTGTATACACTGTTTCATAAATATTTATTCAGTTTTTTATATCTTTCAGATATAAAAAATGATTGAATTGTGTTTTTAAGGAAAAAAATTAGAAAAATAAGATCAGAACGAACACCATTCCTCGTTGCGCACACTCTACTGAGAATTTCGTGTTATTGTTCCGTCATTTGACTCTGTTTCTCCCCTCTCGGGTTGAGATCGTTTGAGGTTTAATGGTGTTATGTATTTCTGCGCATGCTCATCTTCATTCTCCGGTTCTCTTCGTTGTTAAACCTTTCGCACAAACTGCCATTATTGTTCTTAGTTTTCTTATCCAAGAAATATGTACTTCGTTTTTTTCTTAAAAATTAATCGATTTATGACGAAAAAAGAAAAGGCATTTTATTTTATTGAATATATTTTGAATAAAATTTATTCACTAAATATTAAATATTTTATTGTAGCGATCTCGTTATGATTCTTTGATAATTATCTTTTATAAAAATAAAATAGAACTTATATAAGAGATTTAACTATATAATCAGATAATCAAACAAAAATTTTTTCTTAATTATTACCTTTGTTAAAAATATTTCTTAAGCAATTTTTTTGAAAGAAATTCTTTTTAAATAAAAAAATATAAGGTAAACATATGTTATAAATATTTAAATGTTTTTAAATTTGTCTATTATATTTATTATACTATTATAATTATAAATTATAAATATTTTTTATAATATAATATTTTTATAATTATAAATAATTAATTTAAATCTAACTAATGACATTAAGCATATTTTATATTATTGTTATCTTAATAAAATATAAAAAAAATCAATATTTTAATTATATATAGGAAAATAATTGCAAATTTATTATTTCAACGTTGTATCTATATATATTCCTACTGAGTTTGTAACTTGAATAGGTACAGATTGTCGAATGTTACTTGATCACTGTGATATATCATGCACCTAATACCTCTTCATACTTAATAGTCATGATAGATTAAACTTTTAATAATACATAATATTCAATTCCGAAAATATTATAAATAACAATTTTTTTTAATTTCATATAATTTAAAAAAAAATTCGAAATTAAGAAAAATCGCTAAAATTTTTAATTTTAAAACAAAATATTTTTTATATAATTTCAGAAAATATATTAAAAATTATAAAATTACTTACTTGCATTTGATTTGTCAATAATATAAGAATGCTTCTGCCGAGAATTTCGTCAGGAGAAGGAACAAGCAATCGATGAATATTTTTTAAAAGATCAGGAAGAGCACCTGCTCTTGAGGAAACACATGTTTTTGCAAAATCTTCTAATGTATATCTCTCATATTTGTGAGATGCTTTAGAATATAAATGGAAATCATAATATAAATCATTAATTCGTCCAACATTTTCATCAAGGATACGTAATTTTTCATTTAATATTTCTTGTAACGGTATTTCACTTAAAACTTTAGCTAGAATTGTGTCCAATCGTATATCTATTTGTTGTTCAAAACTATCAATTTTTTGTGATATTCTTGACATACGATTCTTTAATTCTTTTTCCATTCTCTGAATAAATGGTAAAGTCGCATCATATTCAGGACCTTTTGGACGTATTATTTCCCATGATTCAAAAATATCTATTACTATTTCATGACCGAATTTTATCATATCTTTTATACCATTATAATCAAATTCAAAACTATTTTTAATTTGTTGTAAACTAAATATTAAACAAATAAAAATAATTTTTGGTTAATTAAGATCATTTTTATTATTTTAATAATTAATTTAAATTAAAATTAAATGAATAAGATTGCACATGTAACACATTCAATCTTGTTTTTCTTTCTTCTTCTATCGTTCATTTATTGAATCAATTTTAAATTCTAAATCTCACAATAATGATTATAAAAATAAAAAATCAAAATTTTCAGAAATATTTGAAGAATTAATCACTCAAGGAAGAAACTTTCCCGAAACTATAAATGCTCTTCTCTTGTTATCGATCGTAGAATACTGACAACACAGCGTTTGGATGCTTCCCAGTGACGGGATTGGTGGATTAAGTGGGGGAATATCATGAGTTTACAGTAGACTCTATAAATCGTTTATTCTATGGGAAATAAATAAAATTAAATTTGTAATGTCTATGATATGTTATGTTCTAATATTAGCATTTATAATAAAAATATTTTTTAATGATAAATAAATTGTTTAAATTTTTATAAATTCATTATAAATAGTAAATAATAAATAAATAATAATAATTAAATTCTAAAATTTATTTTGATTTTTATTATTTGATATATATCTATTTTTATGTATAACATCTAGGAATTATAAAAATATTTTGAATTATTACACAAAAACAAAATTGATTCAATATCTTTAAATTTTTCATATATATATATATATATTATACATACAAATATTAAGAAATATTTTCAAATATGAAATAAAATGAATTTTAATAGTTTTTCTTTTTTGGTTTTCCTATTTTTTAATATTTTTTTATAATAAATAAAATATTCCTATTTTTAGGTTGCTTTTTATGAAATTTTAAATGGATTATGGGTGCGAAATGGTCTTCAAATAAAAGGTCAAATTATGACATACATACAATGCAACTTTTGTAATTCAATGGTAGATGCAGATCTTTATTTACTTCAAGTCTGTGCAACAAAGCTACAACCAGATATTTTTCTAAAAACAATTGTTAAAAAGTAATGATTATGTTATTATATTATATATCACATATTATATTTAATCTTATTTATATCTTTCAAATTAAAATCATAATTGATAATGATCTTATTTAATTAGATTCCTTGTGAAACAAGAGTTGAGCCTTTGTTTATACAGAACATCTCAAAATGAATATATGGATGGAAAACATGATATGCCTATGTTAGAAAGTTTTTTAACATTTTTAGCAATATTACTTAATGTTCGAACAAATTTAGGTAAGATTTTCATGTTATTTTTTTTTAATTTTATTTATTTAATATTATATTATATTTATATAATATTTATTAAATTAATATATATAACAAATTTTCATTTCAGGTTTATCTGATCCTGAAATGTCTCGTTTAGAAATGGTTACTTTATTATCTATGGGAGATAAAACTCATAGTCAATTAATGGAATTAATGCCAGAACGTTCTGGTAGTACCCAAAATAGAGATTTTGAATCTGTATTGGCTGATGTATGTTTTATTAAAAAAAAAAAATAAAATGTGTAATTATATAATTATGTAATATAAAATATAATTTACAGGTTGCAGTGTATAGGGCACCTAATCTTGAAGCTAGTGGAAATATGCAACAAGGAATGTATGGACCAAAACCTCGTTTAGTCTGGGAAGAATTATTTGACCCTTTGCATGTTTTGCTAAGAGCAGCTCAAAGAGGAGATTTTCAAATGGCAATGGATCGTTTTACTGAATAGTTAATAAACTTTATTAAAATATTTAACAAATTATATTTTTATTTTAACTTTTATTCTTTTATTATAATACTTTATAAATATTTTAGTGTGAAACAATCAGGAAAATTAAAAAATAGTGCAATTCCATGGCCACCATTTAGGCATCCTGCTCCTGTTTCACCTGCATATGATGATCCACGAATCGTACTTCGATCTAGAGTTTTTCATGCTATGATTTTAATAATTTTATATAAATCTGTATATGGACATAACATATCAGAGCATGTTATGGCATTGACTATTTATTTATTAGAAATGGCAGTAATTACTGCAGAAATTCCTGATAAATCTGTAAGTAATTAATTAAAAAAATATTGTAGAATTGTAAAATAATTATATTTTTTTTATATCAGATGAATCCTTTGTGTCATTATACTAGTGATGAATCATCTCGTATAATGAAAGACATGGATTTAGATAGTTGGTATAAAACTGATGATTTGTCTGAAAATTTGAGAACAGTAATACCTAAAGTAATCTTAGTTCAAGAATCAGAATCAAGTAGCTCAGATAGTAAGTAAAATTATCATTAAATTATTATTTTCTGCTATATTATATGATTATTTGATTGTTCTAATAAATCTTTTAGGTGACTTTGAATGGGAAATTCAAGGTGAAATGACTGAGGTTGGAACTTCACTCATGATAAATGATGCAACAGATGAAGGTTCTTTAGAAGTTTTAGCTCTTCCACCTTTAGATACTATTAGTAATGATACTGGATTACAAGTTGCTATGAATGCTTCTTTACCTGTTTTACCTCAAGTAAATGGTAAATTTTTATTTATATTTTCTTTTTTCATTTATATTAAATAGTTAAATTATAAAAAATAAATATTTACATTTAATTTATAAGTTTAATTTATGTATGTGTCAAAAATAATCCTTATAGGTCCTTATATATAAAATTTTTAATACACCTTATTTTAATTAATAGCTGTAATATACATTATATATATATATATATGTATTATATGTATATAAGTGTATATTCAAAAATTATGAGATGGATGTTTCGGTGTTGATTAAATATATTATATGATATTACAATGATATTTTATTTTTTTTTAATTGTTTTATAGACCAATTTCAAATAACTTTTGTACCTGAAGATGGAATTGTTACAATATCAGAAGCTAATAGTGAAGATGATTTAATAACTCTACCAAGAGCTTTACCATCATCCACCGAAGAATCCATGGCCCTTGCCCTTGAATCACCTCCTCTACCAAACAGTATGTTATTTCTATCATTTCACCTTAATCATAGCAATATCCTTCTTATATGTTATACAGTTATTTACTAAATATGTATCATACTTTTTTTCCATAATTAAGAACTAATGTATTAACAATATTCTAAAATAATACTAAAATTATCAATTTTATCAATAAAAAGAATATACTTGATACTTGAAAATAACATATTTTTAAAGGAAAAATAATCATTTTTTTTTATACTTTATTCTTTATATGTAGACTTTGTTAGTCAACCAGCATTACCACCAGCACCTCAACGACCTGCTGTTATGGCTGGTAATGAAATAGTTGCTGCAACAACAATGTACTCGAGACTGAGTAATTCTAATGTAACAACGACAGAAATTGTTCCATCTACATCAAGTTCACATAAACATTTTAAAAGAAGAGAAACTCAGGTAATAATTTATGTATTGATCAATATTATATGTATATATTTTAATAATAAATTATATTATAAATATTATTAATTTATTATTTTATATTCTTTTTTGTTTAGGTGGATCATTACAATCACAAACTATAAAAGTAGATGAGAGTATAATCACGTTATTATTAAAATTGCACTCACAATTATCAGGTATTCCAGATAGTTATAATCCTGAACAGAGTGCAATGTCGGATAATGAAGCTAGTAGTAGTTCAACTATAGAACCTATAGAATCGCGAATTGGTGATGGCCCATTCTTTATTGCGAATCTATTGAACAAGATAACAAACTTGGATCCTATGTGCAAAGAAGCTATAAATGAAGCTAGGAACAAATTATGGCCAAGTATGCAAGAAAGTGAAGATAAACAACGAGAGAAAGAAGATCGCGAAAGAGAAGAAAGACGAAGACGAGCAAAAGAAAGACAGCAAAAATTAATGGCTGAATTTGCTAATAAACGAAAGCAATTTATGGAAAAAGCAATGGAAACAGGTAAAATATAAATACATAGAATTTATAAGATTAAAAAAATAATATTTAAGAAAAAAAGTTTAATTTACACAAGAAAAAAAAAGTAAAATTTATGAATCTTTTTTTTAGATGGAGCAGGAGTATCTGGTATGGATTGGGATCAAAAAGATAATGCAACAAAATTAACTAGCAAAAAGGAATATGATTGTGTTATTTGCAGTCAAAGTAGTCCTAGTACTGAAGATAATCCTATGGGTCTTGTTGTATTAGTTCAAGTAATTTTCATTTTATGAACTTTTATTCATATAAATTATTTTTGTTAAAATATTTGCATAATATATTTATATAAACTATATATTTAGGGAACAAGTGTCATTGGCCATGAACGTCAACAACCAGATAGACTAATTTTACCTACATCTGATGAAGATCCGCCTATACCAAAGTGTGATACACGCGGTGCCTATTTTGATCGTAGAATGGATGCAATGGATCGACATTTTGATACTGTAAATATTTGAATTTCAATTTATTCATTGATCATACTAAAACAATATATACATATTTTTATTTATAGGTCTCGTTGCTGTTATCTATTAATTTAGGTTGGGAAGGTGGAGTATATGTTCAAACGTGTGGTCACCATTTACATTTAGATTGTTTGTTGCCATATATAAAGTCTCTTGGTCATCAACAAAGACAGCTTTCTCTTGCTGTAGATAGTGGCGAATATTTATGTCCACTTTGTCGACAGTTAGCAAATTGTTTTCTTCCACTTTCTCCGCAATTAGGAAAACGTGGAACAATTGTACGATCTCCCTATGTTCCTTTTCCTACAATACTTCCGGAGATAAATAATCTTTTAAAAGAAGTACAACGAAATTCATCAACGGTAAGTCTCCCAAACTTCATCTAATTTACAATAATATATTCTAAATGTTCTTTGCAATTAACGATTCATATTTACAGAAACGAACATTTTTATCTGAAGCAATGCGTAAAGCAGTACAAGATATGACAAGGTGCACAAATTCTAAATGTCAACAACAACATAGTTACAAAAGTTTGTTTGCTTTTATAACTTCTATAGCACGAACTAATTTTGAAATTGAACTCGTTCAACGTGGCGGATCGTTGTGTATTCTTCCACCTACTACAATACCTTTAAGACCAAAACGTGATTGTATTGGTAAATTTTTTTTATTATAATTGATAATAAATAAATAATATATTAATAATTAATAATAATTAAAATAATAAATTTTGCATTAATAATATTTTTTTTAAGTTGCACTTCTTGATGTTCTTGCAAAAAATGCACGTCTATGTATGTTTTGGCCAGTACAACATACATGGCAACAATTATCTGGGCTGCCTGCAGAATCAGCAACTCCACTTGCTCTAACACTACACGAAGAAGAAGTTCCTTTACTTCTTAGAGATCCAACTGCTCTTCTTATACAATTTATATTATTACTTCCTTTGCATTTGGATCAAAGTAATTATATAAATTTATTTTCAAATTAATTTTAACAATTTTATAAAATTTAAAGCATCAAATCATTATTTATTTTCAGCATATTTCTCTAGCGTAGTAAAAGTAATTTATAACTTATTGTACTATCAAGTTATAGTACAAATAAGCGGTGGTCTCACACAAGCAGAAAGAAATACATTTTTAAGGAGGGAATGTAATGATCGCGGTTCTATATCTTCAGAAACAATACTCTGCAAAATCATTGAATATTTCAATAACAGTTCACTCTACCATTCAGATACTGTTTTATATGATCCATCCACTTCGTCATGTACACCATATGCACGAGATAAAATGCACAGTATCGAACAACAGGTAAATTTGAATAGATAATTATGTAATTCATAATCTTTATCTTATTTTTAAGATTTTATTTAAATATATTTAATTATATCATATTATATCATATTATTTCAGATTCAATTTATGTGTTTACCATTTTTACGAATAGCTGCATTGCTTCGTTATCATTTGTATGAGGAACCATTACCTTTAATTAAAACACCACAAGTTGAATTTGCAAGATTAGTATATTACTTAGAATTAGTTACAGAAAGTATGGATTGGAATATGTTTAATTCTGCTGTAGCTTTGAATTGGCAAGATAATGACACTAGTGCATCAGTACCTCGTATGTGGTGTGATCAATTTCTTGCATTTTTAAATCGAAGCGATGCAGGCAGGTATTTAATTATGGAGCAGCATATATCATGGCAGGTGCCCAAGTTACTTAGTCTTCCAAGGGAATATGAAAAAATTTTTACGGTATGAATATTTTTATATAGTCAATTAAAAAATATGTTTTACATTTATATTAAAATTTTATAAATAAAATTTTTTTTAGTATTATCATGGACGACAATGTCGTCAAGGTCATTCAATACCACAGGAGATTAGTATTTGTTTATTATGTGGTGCCATTGTTTGTTTAAAACAAAATCGCAAACAATGGAATGTATGCGAAGTTGTTCAAGTAAATACACTTTATATATATAATTTTTTTTGATAATTAATAATTTAAAATTATATAATAAAATTTTTTTTTATATTATATATAGCATTCAATTGACTGTGGAGGTGGAACTGGTATATATCTGGTAGTAACATCAACTTATATTGTTGTAATTCGAGGTCAACGTGTTTGTTTATGGGGATCTTTATATCTCGATGATTTCGAGGAAGAAGATAGAGATTTGAAGTAAGTATTTCATTTCCTAATAATAATAATATTATTATTATATATATAATAATAATGGTATATATATGTAATAATATTATATGTATGTATTATATGTAATAATATTAGATATATATTTAAAAATCCAATTTATCTTTAGTTATATTTCAATTTAAATTTTTATTATTTTATTTTATAATTAGAAAGATATTAACATTTATTCATATTTTATAGACGTGGAAAACCTCTTTACCTAAATCAAGATAGGTATCAATTATTAGAACAGCAATGGTTAGCACATAGGTTTGATCATACAAAAAAAACATGGGTATGGCATCGTGACATACTGTAACATATTACAGCGTTAAAAAGTGGTTACATTAAAACAAGTCGAAGACTTTTAACAGGTTTATTCCCATACAATGCCTCGCCAAGAAATAACATCGCTTTAAGAATTAACAGATTGCTCTAATATTTTATGAATAATTATATTTATTATGATGCAATGAGTAAGTAGACATAATATTGAATGAAAGTATTACAAGAAAAAAATGAGGTGAGAGCTGAATTAATATTGTTTATAGTCATAATACATAAAAGATTATATCCGAAAAAATGTATGTTTTGAATTACACATTGTACATTCTATTTAAGTATATACATATAAATTATGTCCTAATAAAAGAAGTACTTATTTAGTATGTAGCATTTGTACTTAAGAAATGAGAACTATTCAAAATTCTTGAAAATTTTTTAATCGAAATTTCGATTATATTAGAAATCGGATAAATTATATCGTTCAATATAAATAATATCATGATAATGTTATGATTTTTTAGAGGTGGATTGAATTTATTGTGTGCTTCTTTTTAAAATAGGAAAAAATAGAAAAAAAGTCATTATATTCTAATCATAAATAATCATAAATTTATTATTATAATTAATTTTTTGATTACTAAAAATTTTATTTTAAAAAATTCTTTGAAATATTATCTAAATATTCTATTTAAAAATAGAATATTTTATATTATTATAAATTGAAAAATACAGAGGATTATATTAGATCTGTAAACATGACAAAATCAAAGACTGATGTCTTTATAAGAACTCTGTTTCTAAATAAGTTTAATAATGAACTCGATTTTAAATCTCTGTATAATTTGTTGCATTCATAATATGTTTTACTCTGATTCTGAATTTATATGAGCAAAATAGAAATATCGATTGTGTATAAATTTTTAATTAGAAGGTGAAGGGAAAAATTTCATGTTAAATTGGCAGAAATGTTAAGAGAATAATTTTGTAGAATGATATATTAAATATATCGAAAATGCAAATTATCGGAATATCAAATTAACATATAATCGGTAAAAAAAAGTTTCCATGAACTTATAAGGAAATTTATCTAAACTAAAATTAGTTTTAATGAAAGTTTCTATATAAAGTATAATGAGTTGTAAATTGAGCAATTTTTTTTACTAACAAAAAATCTTTTTGGGAAAGTGAAAATAATTTTCAAAGTTTCAAGATTCTTTTAATTTTTATATATAATTTTATTTGAAAAATTTTTTACAATAGTACAATGATACACTAAAAATTAAATATTTTTTATTTAAAAAGTTTTGCTCTATCTTGTTATTACAGAATTATCAAAAAATGAAGAAATCACTAAAATTTTGAATGTTGATTTTATTTTCTTTAAATAATATTTTTTTAAATAATAAAACAAAAATAAATATAAATAAGCAATTATGCTTTACATGTTCATCAAATTTTATTAAAAATAAAATTTTTTTTTGAAAAATTAAAAAATAAGGAGACAAAAGTAATTTTTTTATTTGTAATGAAACATTATGAATATGTAGAGATAGAGATATGTAGAGATATAATAAATTATATATAAAGCTAATTTTTTTTTTTTTAATAACTATCATCTGAAAGAAATGAAAAAAGCACTCAAAGTTTCAAGTAAAATTTTTTTCATTTTTTAAAATATAACTGTAATAATTCATGATAGAACAAAACTTTTTAAATAAAAAATATTTAATTTTTAATGTATATTATTTACACTATTATAAAAAATTTATAACTATTATAAAAATTTCCAAGTAAAATTGTATACAAAAATTGAAAGAATATTGAAATTGAGGATTATTCTCATTTTCTCACAAAAATTTCTTATTGATAAAAAAAGTATACAATCCATGTTCCACATACATACAAACTTTCATTAAAATCAGAAATTTTGATTTAAATAAATTTCTTTGTAGATAATTTGTCTTTTTTTACTAATTGTATGTTTTTATTATTAAAAAAAATAATAAAAAACAAAAAAAACAAAAAAACAGAATCAGCAGTGTAGTAATTAAGTGAGATTGTTATTAATACCATGTGAATGATATTGTAAAATTTTCTCTGTAAAAATAGTTTTTGTTTTTAATTTAATAATGAATTCTCTTTGCAACAGTTCATGAGAAATTGAAATTATTCATTAATCAATGAACTCGGGATTCAGACAATATTTGATGCATTATATATTTCTGTATGCATATTTATGGGCTGTGTATATGAACCTATAAACTCATTTTATTGAATGAACTATTTATCTACTCGCTGATTTTTTCGCACCGGTGCATAAATGCTAATTGAACTGTGGTAATTAAGTTGTTATTGTTTTTGAAGAAGCAATTTGTATGCAAATGTTCAACTAAAAAATTAAAATTTTTGTTGAACACATTGATTTTTAACAAAGTATATTTGCAAAAAAATTTTTTATTGGACATTTTAATTTTTGTTACGATATAAAATAAAAAATTGCTTCTTCTAAGTTATAAATCACTGTAAATGTGTAATAATGATAGGATGCCACATATTAGGATTACTAGTTAACTCAAAATGATCTGTATATAGTTAATTATTTTTACGAATGTCTGCTTATAATGTTAAAAATTTGCGAATAATATGTTAAGAAGTGCTAAAAGATAAATAATAATAGCAATTATCAACTTTGTTCAATGTATAAATAAAAGCAATTCTATTAAATGAAAAAATTGTCTACAAATTCGTTTAACTACTTTTCAAATGATGTGTAAAGTAAATAGAGAAAGATGAAGTATCATTTATTTTTAGATGATTATTACAGGTAATTTATGCCATTGGCAAATGCAAACATGTTTTGTAAAATGGATGAAGCTTGATAAACATAGATGTAATTTTATCGTAAATCTAATGATTATTACAATATTATTTATATCAAAATCATTTTCTGTTCTTGTTACGAAAATGAGACTCTAGTTTTTATTTTATTTAATTATTTTTCTATTCAACAAGTGCTATTTTTCATAATAGAGAATACTACTAAAAGTAATATAATTATTTTTTACTTATTTGTTCTAATTATATATAAAACATCTACTTATAAATTATTTTCATTATCTAAGAAAGTATTATATTGTTTAAAATATGAATTGAAGATATAATAATGAAAGAAAAATACTAATCAATATCTAAAAGTTAGTAATGAAAACAGAAACTATATTACTTATCTGTACAAGAATAAATTTTATTACAATTTATAGAAATTTTGTCCTGTTAAATCAAATGAATTAAGTATTTTGTAATGAGGATGCTTATAATAGAATGATATTCAAATCAATATATAAGAGTTAAACAATTTAATAACTTGTAGAACTTTGACCTAATTTTTATTTTTTATTTTATATAACTCAAATAGTAATTTAAAAAAAAATATTATAAAAGTAAATTTGCATAATTATCAGATATAGCAATTTAGTATTTTTATTATTTTAATACATAATTTGTCTATAATAAAAATCAAAATCTATAAAAATCTTCAGAAGCATCCACATTACTTACATTGATTATTTCATGCTTATCAATACAGAAGAGAATAAATTTTTTTACGATTAGTGAATGTATACTTTTCAAGTAGAAAATATTTCTATTAATATTAAAATTACATAAAAAGGCAAAGGGAAAATATTACAATTATTCTTTTATTATAGACGTACCTTAAACGCAACAATTTTGTTTAAATCATATTTATATTATATAATAATTATGTTTTAATAACAAAACTAAAAATCATGATCTAAATCTAAGAATTTAGAAATTCATAAGATGCAAATATATTGCCAAATGTTATTAATGGACAAAACTCACAGCATTTAAGGCATGATTCTTTTTTTAGTTCTGTATCTTTTTTTTTTTGTTTTGTTTTTGTTGGATAAACATATACATTGTATGAAACTGACTGTTGATGGTCTTTGCCACGTTACAGGAATGTAGAACAGCACATCAAAATGTTACGTAAAAAACCAAATTACATAATGTTTTTTTAACATACATATATATATACTGATAAACTTGTCCATTTCTTTACGATAGTCACTTTCACTTTAAAAGAGATTGAAACTTAGTAGATTTCTTCAATAGTGACCACCTGTCTGTTCTTGATATACTTCAATAACATCATCATTTTCCATTTCCAACTGCAAAAAAATATAAAATCATAATATTTCATAAGATTTAATCATATTAATTATAAATAATGTTGAACTCAATCTATAAGAAAACATACATTGATAAAATTTTTTGTTTTTAAAAATAATTTTATAAAATTGTAAAAAAAAATTTTGTCTCATTCAAAATTTTAAATTTAAATAGAAGTTTACCTGCTTTGGTGTTTCATCATCATTAATTCTTTTACCGTCAAATAGAAACCTGAGTGATGTCATAGGAACACCCTAAATAAAATTTAGATATGTAATTAAATATTTTTATCTTTTTTAAAAATATATATTAAATAATTTTTGATACCAAAATATACAGAAATATTATAATTTGATATATTTTATAAACAAAAATCAATTTATCATTTCATTTTATTTTTAAAAGCTCAAAAATATTTTAACCATAAATTACATTAAAAATTTAATTAAAAAGAAAAATATATTTTGTTTCTAATAAATATATGAAAATTCGTGATTTTTTTAATTTATAGTTTTACTATTCATATAACTTAAATTATATATCACATGTCACAAAAAAAAAAGTAAGAAATTATTATAAAAATTTTTTTAATAAATTATTCTATATTATCAAAACCTAATAATATCATCCAAATGCACGTTTATTTTGAAAAGTGAACTAACCACACGATCGCTATACGATTTCTTGAGTTTACCCATTTGAGTGGTCATCTTTACCCTAAAGTGAATTTCATTGCTGTCCTAAAAAAAAATGAAATGACGAAATCGGTTATTAAGCGCCATCGAAATAAGATGTCAATATAGAAAAATATAACTCTAACTTCTTACATTTCCAACAACTTTAAGCTTGATATATTCAGAATTCGCGTCGCCTGGGCCGGCTTCGGGTTTTTGTTCCTAATACGCAAGGTTAGACTGATTAGATTCAAAATATGATTGAACATTTGAATGTTATATTAAATTTATACTATAAAATGCCCATTAATAAATTGTTGGTTAAAATAAGAAAGCCTACCTGATTATCAGACATGGTAATTAATTAAATATAACAATTCTTGACCACGCGCCAGAACAGTAACCAAACACAAGCACGCAATATGGCGCCGCGCTTTTGTCAGTTTCACAGTCTTCTATTCTTAAAATAAAAATTTTAACGTTTAGTAGCTATTTTCGTTCCAAAAGACATCATTTTCTAACAATTTTGTTTTAAAATTTTATATTTGCATATATATTTACATATAATTACATATATATATATACATATATATATGTACATACATATATATATGTGGATTTAGTTAAATAATTACATTATATATTAATTAAATAAAATATAAGTCATTAATTAGATAAAATTTTCTTTCTCAATTATCTTTTTATATTGAAGATATTTAATATTATGAATTACTTATTCATTAATTAAATTTGTCTTTTTATTGTCTTTTTGTTATTTTTCATAAACAAATTTCATAAATTAATTAATTTATATGTTTATAAAATAATATTTTCCAAAATAAATTTAAGATATATGAGCATTACATGATTATATAAAATATAAGAATACTAACAGAAATCTTTACATAATTCAATTTTGACTGTTTAAATTTTTTAACAAAAATATGATTTTAAGTTTCTCATTTATAATTAAATTTACATTTTTATATTTATTAAAGTTTTCATAAACAATATTATTATTTTAAAAAGTTAAAAAAAAAGAAATAAATATTTAAAAATAATTTTAAATTAATTAATATTATTTCCATTTATAAGGAAGCCATTTTGCTATAAATTATATTTATATATTCGATTGTAATTATGTGTTCTAAAAAATTGAATTGGTAACTTTAATTTAAATATTTTACCAATCATAAATTGATGTAAATTATATCATTCGTTACATAAGAATCAGATTTAATGATTGTCCGCTTTTATGACACGATAGAAAGATAAGTTGAAACACCTTGCAAATTCTATAGTACGTCTAATCATAGCATGCCATTAATGTTGTGACGTGTTATTTTTTTTTAACTAAATAAACAGCGAATTAATCGCGAAGATTGGCTGAAAACGTACAAATACCGTAGGTAAATGTTATTTATTTTAGTTTTATCTGTAATTTACAGTTGAATTTCGGATAATTATAAAATGAGGAGGTTATGTGCACATCGTTCAGTTTATTTCATGCTATTGAGAATTTATATGAAAATACTATTAATATCTTAATTAAATTTTCTTAATTACTTAAAAAAATGTTTTGATAGAATTAATAAATAGAATTATGAAAATTAATATAAATTTTAAGTTAGTGTTTGATAGAAACATTTGATCAAACTATTATTGAGAAGACTTATATTATACAGCAATCTTGTATTCAGTTTTAATAATTGATTTTAATATTTTGATATATTAATTTTTTTTATTAATAAAAATTGCACTTATAAATAGGAATTTTATATATTCGAATGTTCAAAAAATATTTTTATTATGATTACATTTCTTATATATTTTAGTCTAAAATTTTTTAGAATCCATTGCACAATATATTATACAATTTTATTTCCTATATTATATCTGCATTTATTTCTGAAAATATATTTAATAATATAACAAAAAATATATTTATTATAATTAAATATCTAATCAAATCTATCATAATAATTAGAAATTTTTAATGTTTTTTAAATAAAGTCAATAAAATAAAATATAACTAATTTGTATTCTATTTTGTAGTTTATAACTTTGAATACATTATTTAATATCTGATTACTTATAATAAATATTTACTTTTTATTTATTTTTTTAATATTTATTTATTACATTTTATTTATCTTTAAGATTTAGTTTAATATAATATATAAAGATATATAATATATAAAATATTTATTATATATGTTAATAATAAGATGATATTTATATATATTTATAATATTTTTAGATGATATTTAAGATAATTAAAATAAAAATTTTATTGTAGAAAGGTAAAATGATGCAAGATGAGCATCTGGGTGGTCCTGCAAGACGAAATGTTTTTAGTCAAGCAATAGGAAGAATATCACAAGTATGTACAAATTTTTTAAAATTTTATTGTTTTAATTTTTTTTTTATATTATAAATTTTAATATAATTTTTATATTTTACAAGTAATCTTTTAAGTATTAACAATATACAATTCAATTTTCATAGTAATGTATAAATATATTTATATTACAGTTATATCAAAGATATTTGGATCTTTGGACACCTCATGTAATGTCAAGATGGGCAGTTGCTCTTTTTCTGATATTGTTTTTTTCTTGCGTATATTTTTGTCAGAAGTAAGTTATTGTTGTTTTAAAAATTAATATAATGATTAATTTAAAAAAATTCAGGTATATTTTTATGCTTCTATATTTTTATAGGGATGGTACATTGTCACATATGCACTAGCAATTTATCATCTAAATTTATTCATAGCATTCCTTACTCCTAAAATTGATCCTGCAATGGATTTTGATGGTGAGTGTTTATAAATAGTATTTATGGAAATTATTATTTATTAATAATAATATAAGATTAAATTATAATGCTTCAAAATTTCATTTAGTGATTATAATTTTAATATTAATTTGATTATAATTTTATATAATTTTAATACTTAAAAAAATTTTAATTTTATTTTCACAACAAATTTTTAACAGAAATTTTTTAATAGATGGTGAAGGACCAGAATTACCTACAAGATCTAATGAAGAATTTAGGCCATTTATTAGAAGGTTACCTGAATTTAAATTCTGGTATTCTGTGATGAAATCTACAGTTATTGCTATGATATGTACTATGTTTGATTGCTTCAATGTACCAGTATTTTGGCCCATACTTGTTATGTACTTCATAACATTATTTTGCATTACTATGAAGCGTCAAATAAAGGTAAAACTGTATATTATTATAATTTTATTTGTGATATTTTTTTTGTGATATTTTAAATTATTCATTTTTTTATATAAATTAATTAAATTTATAATATTATAATATATATATATATATATTATTTATAAATTATTAAAAAAAAATAATATATAAAAAAATTTATTAAAATATATATTTTGAAATTTATTTGCAGCATATGATCAAATACAGATACCTGCCGTTCACTCATGGAAAACCAAAGTACCAGAATCACGAGGATACCTCGAGGTTAATACCTTCAAAGTGAATAGGTGTGAAGTATGCTTGTTGATGGAGGTGCATAAGTGTGTAGATTTCTATTTTCCCAATATCACAATGGAAAAAAAAAATTTTTTAATTTAAAAGCAAATAGATTCTTTTATCAATGACATTACATATGAATAAAATCATTGCCTTGTATAAGGAAAGGTTTAATCCATGAAAGATATAATACTAAAAGTATAATGTTATGTGGTATATAAACTGAATTGTCGCGTAATATATTTGTATTATAAAAACTTGTATAAAGTATTGTTAGGTTATATAAAGTGATCATATAATAATATGAACAATACAGCAATTGTTAACATAATATTAAATTAACATTGAATATAAAGAAAACAAAAATAATTCATACATATAAGATTCGTAATCTCAATACTAACATCGTTTTTCTCTTTTTTAATACACTTTTCGTTATGAACATTTCATGTAGAAGAATTCTATTGTTTCTTACATCTTTCCTTATATATTTAGATTTTATTTGAAATTTATCCTGTTGATTTTATCATCTAAAAATAATAGTATTTATTAAAAATAATGATTACAAATTAATCTTCTTTTCGCTAACAATAAGAATATATTTCAAATACATTGATTAAATTTTTTCTTTATTAAAAAGAAAATGGAAATCTTTCCAACTGCTTATAGTACATATTATAATTCGTGATAAATGGCATTTAATTGTTTCTATCAAATGGATTTATTGTTATGAAACAATTTAGTCCAATTTAGTTTAATATAAAACATAAGACATGCTGTCTTAATGAAATTGTGTTCTTACGTTGATATACGTATATTAAATGATAGTTTAAAACAACACATTTAATAGAATAACGCATACCATTTACAATTTTGTTTTAATTTGTTTCTATATAAATTTGTATATACGAGGTTATTTAATAAACATTCAGGGATCATCTGATGCATAGTAAATTAATAATAAATAGCGTTATTAAAAGGGATGATTTCTGAAGGTCCAAAGATCATTTTTCACATTATTTTATCACAATGTTTTACATTATATCAATTTCACAAATTAAAAGAAATTATATTATTTTTATTTATTAAAATTTATAAATATATATTATACTGTATTTAAATACTGCTCAAAAAATTTTCGAATTATTTTATGATTTTTAAATGTATTTGATATTCATTTTTCTAATATTTTTTATTCGTTTTAATATCAATGACTTTGAATTATATCAAATTTTAATATGTATAAAGTACAAGTTTGCTCAATTATATTTGAATATCAAAATAAAGTTTTCAGGACATATCAGGTACCATTTCTTCGATCTTTCATCTCACAGTTATTTAATAATAATTATCTTTTTGGATCTTTGGACAAAATTTAAATCCCAAGTAACGTGTTCTTGTTACCGGGCATAATATTACTTTGTCTTTTATACATACATATACATATACATATATATATATATATATATATATAT